CAGGATATACACATACACTCAAACCTCTATGTAATATCCCTCTTTTCATTTGGCACCTCATTTACCCCTAAAGTCACATTTGAACTTTACCAAATCAAAGACTGGGCAAGTCCAGTTTAAATATGTAGGGGTGAATGGGTTAACAATTCATTTATATGTCTCCCCAAGTGCATATTCACTAAACTGTTTATAATGCGAAAAATGTTGGTAGACAAATGATGACAATATAACAAGGTTTCAATTTACATATTACTGTTTATCATACATTTTGGCAACTACTGTTAATCTCTGTAACTGTGTCGTAGGACGAGGAAAAGTGATAAGTATAGAGCCGTCGCTGGGGCTCGAACCCACAACCCTTGGCTCTCCAGCCCGATGCTCTATTGCTGAGCTGAAGGGTAATTTCCCCACAGCTGACAGTTGTAAGTTCACCCTAATCAATGAACATCTTTTACAACTGTGCCTCAAACAACATAAACATCAGGATTTATAAAAGAAACAACACGACATATCCCTTTCACCCCTATGTAACTTTAGTAGACTACTTGATGCATTGATGTGGATGAGTCCATTATGGTCTACAGTGGTGAAAGGGTTTTAAATCCAGACTTCCGAAGTCTACTGGCCAATGGGATAGGAGTTGGACCCAGGATCAACGGTTTGGAATGAAGGAGTATTACTGTTTGTGGGTAAAACAAGAGTCTTCCAAATGATAACTTCCAGGTAAAAAATAATAAATTTTCAAAATATAAATTCATCAAATTTTGAATAATTTTAGAATTAAATGCCTCACTTCACATTTTCCTTCTGTTTTTAAACACAGACTCAGATTCCCTGCTTTACATCAAAATACTATTGTCAGAAAATACAAAAAAAACACTCAGATTCCCTGCTTTACATCAAAATACTACTGTCACAAAATACAAAAAAAACCGTTCCATCATATTGGAATGAGTTTGAAAATAATTCATATAATTAAGATTCTATGCATATGTTGTATTTATAAACTCTGGTACTGTGTTGGGTTCCATACAGAACGTTATAAAATGTTCCAAATGAATATCACTGTTACTGAGAAATATGTCAGAGTTGGTCTCTGACTCTTCTCAGCTGATCAACTGACTTCTAAACATGTTACTTTTTTGGTGCAACGATTATGACACAGGTTTGGTTATGTGTTTTAATTCCTATTAATAGCTATAGCCATTTAAGGACATATCAGGTTTTGGTGGTGGAGGAAAATTGCAGTGCTTGGGGTAAAAACCACTGATGTTAATGCCTAGTACCTGGCGACTGATCCATGTGTATGACCGGAACCCAGGACAGAGTGGCGAACAAGTGATCTTAGATGCTCATATACTTAACACTGATTTTTCCAACTTATATTAACTATTTTAAATTGTAAGCTTGGATTCAAGTTTACAGGGCTAATATGAAAGTACACCAGAGTACCTGAAGGAAACCCACATGGTCAGGCAGGTGATATAATAGCTGTTTATGTCTTATCATGTATCACATACTGACCGTCTCGGTGAAACGCGAGTGCACTATCAACTTGGCCACCCGACCAACCTATATAGCTACCATCCATTGATCTGTGGGACGCTGAAGACTTGAAAAATAATATCAGAAATATATACAGGTGATCAACAGTATAAACCCATAAACATGATATGTATTCTGAAATAGACATCACTGTACATAAACTTGTACAAAGTAAAACACTTTTGGATCATTTCAGTTTTTAAAAATTGAGTTATTTTTAGGAATGTACGTAGTCTTAAAGGGGTCAATATCAAAATTCCAAAATTCTGAAAACAATGTAACCGCATTGCTTATATCAAACTAATACTGTATACCCGGTACCTCAAATCCATGTACATACAACCTGCCAACTCTCCCTATTAAGAGGGAGACTCCTCAGTTTGGGCCCTTAAATTTAGCATTTCTAACCAGGAAATTTGCTTAACTATTCCTATATTCAAAGATCTGATGATTTCATCTGAAAGAACAACTTAAGATATGTCATACAAAAGGACTCTTTTGACCCTAGGGATTATCTATACACATTTTATTTAATGTTTTTGATTTTGAGCAGCAGAGTCTCTCCCATGAAAATTTGGCAAGTATATGTACGTAGCATCACAGCACGCTCTTTTTCAAAGAATTTGTGTTTTACTTTTGCCAATTTATAATCAGCAGAGTGACAAAATGCCAGCATACTATACTATATACTACTACTGTCAATCTCTGTGTCGTAGGACGAGGACAAGTGATAAGTATAGAGTCGTCGCTGGGGCTCGAACCCGCAACCCTTGGCTCTCCAGCCCGATGATCTACCGCTGAGCTAAATGGAAATTCACTACAGCTAATGCTTGTAAGGCAACCTAATCAATGCACATCATTTACACTATTTCCCCCTTTTTTCAATCACCAACCCAGGTTGTTTGACTCCCCGCCAAGGGTTCTCCTACATTGAGTGGGAGGTTCAACAGCACCAGTTTGTAGTTGGATGAGGAAAAGTGATAAAGATAATTTATAATCAGCAGAGTGACAAAATGCCATCACACTATACAATATACAATTACTAACATAACAGTTTCCATTTTTGTTGGTCTCCAACTTTTTGTCATTTTATAATCAGCAGAGCCAGGAAGGCAAAATGTTAAATTCTATAAATTAGACTTCACTTTAAATGAATCATTCTTAGAATAAAACATAGAATAAAACAAGGCAAGTGGACAGGAATGCTTAACGTATAGTCTCAGTGTAGCAGAGACAGCACACAACAAATGTAAATAAACAACAGGTAGGTTTTTAACATCAAAATACAGGTTATACTCCAGTATACTATTATAAATTATAATATTTCCTATCATGCATTGATTAACAGGTGAAATAGAAATTCTGTTTAATTTGACACATACATTGATTCTATAAAATAGCAGTAAACAAGCAAATTCTACAATTTCTATATTTACATTCACAAATAAATACAAAATTTCCGACCCAACCGTCACAAACAGAACTTAGGTCAAATTTCGCAACTAAATTTTATGTTCAATTAATTCCAAAATTATTAATTTTCTTCATCCAATGATTGTAAGGCTGATAATTTTTCTTTTTTCTTCTTCTTCTTCTTCTTCTTCTTCTTCTTCTTCTTCTTCCTCTTCTTCTTCTGTTTTGTTTAGCATGATTTTTTAAATATTGTTTTTGTCTTTAACAGGAATAAATTGTAATTTAATACTTGTATGCGCACACAAATAATATTACAATCAGCACATGAAATTTAGAGATATTGTTGTAAAGAAATTCAAGTTTATGATTAACCTTAAATTCAGTTTGTGACACCAGAGCCTGATGTATATGAACTTCACATACAAAAATTAAGGTAGCACCATTTACAAGGAGTGTCAAACACTAAATATAATTCAGGTATATAGTTAAGCTTTTACTGTAAATATGTTTAGGTCAACCTTGACCAAAGGCAAGAAAATAACTAACTAATAATATATCAAGCCATTTTAACACTTAATACTATTTCATCTTAAGGTAAATTAAACGTCAAATTTATTTCACTTAGGTGACATTCTTTTTATTTTAAGGTAGAAAAAGCATAATTTTTTGTGTAATCTGATATTTCACTAAGGGTAAAATGAATTTCACTAAAGTGAACAAATATTTACCACAAGATGAAATAGTATAAAATATTAAAATGACTTGCCATAAACTAATACATCAAGTAGTTATATATATAATACCTCTAGATAGTGATTTTTGTTTTGGTTTGTTGCTGGAGTTCCCGGAGAAAAACCACCAACCAACGATCAGTACCTGGCAACTGCCTCACGGAGGTCTCGAACCCGCGACCCAGTGGTGGAGGGCTAGTGGTAGCAGAATGTCAGACGCCTTAACCACTTCGCCACTGCATCCCCAGGTGATAGATAGTGATTGAGATTGTCACAAACCAACAGGACATTTATTAACTTTAGTGATTAAGTCAAACATCCTATTGATTTTTTTTTTTTTTATATCTTAATACTTTTACAAAATATCATATCACAACCTCAAAAAAAGTGAAAAATTCGTTTTTTTTTATGTAAAGCATTAATTTTTTACTGTCAGTGGAATGTTTCCATTCTGACAACCAATTCAGCTGACAAAGCTCATTATGTCATACCAAAACACAGCTGGAACAGCAACACTTTTCTACCAAGATTATCTCCCCTGATGCATTGTTGGTTTTGATATGTAGTATACATTCTATATGGAATTAGTCTTATTACAAGGGCTACAACGATACATATCACGATACAATATGTTTCATGATACTGTGGTCACAATACGATACGTATCACGATACGATACATATTACGATACTGTGGTCACGATACGATACACGATACTGTGGTCATGATACGATACGTATCACGATACTGTGGTCACGATACCATACGTATCACGATACTATGGTCACAATACGATACGTATCACGATACAGTGGTCACAATACGATACGTATCACGATACTGTGGTCACAATACGATACACGATAATATGGTCACAATACGATACATATCACGATACTGTGGTCACAATACGATACGTATCACGATACTGTGGTCACAATACGATACATATCACGATACGATACATATTACGATACTGTGGTCACGATACGATACACGATACTGTGGTCATGATACGATACGTATCATGATACTGTGGTCACGATACCATACGCATCACGATACTATGGTCACGATACCATACGTATCACGATACTATGGTCACAATACGATACATATCACGATACTATGGTCACAATACGATACGTATCACGATACTATGGTCACAATACGATACGTGTCACGATACAGTGGTCACAATACGATACGTATCACGATACTGTGGTCACAATACGATACATATCACGATACTGTGGTCACAATACGATACGTATTACGATACATAAAGTAACTGCAGAAGCAAAGAGAAAAGACATTTAAATTCTTAATTGCAATTTTACAAATGGAAATAGACTTCACTTAGAAACGACAAAATCCTGAAAACATCATAGGTGTATCGTGACTTAACAAACACAAATAGTGTATCGTACAGTATTAAAAATATCGCGACATTTTATGTGATGTTCTTTTTCAAAATGAAAAGGTTAAAGTAATGGTTTAGCAAGTGTCTGGTTCCCTGATGCAAAACTGGTTTCCTGAGGTAAATATATTTTCTCTGTACTGTTTTAGTTTACAGACTAACACACGGATGACAGAGGACTTACTCCCTGGATATATAGAGTAAATAAAGTAAAGGTCATACAATGTATATTACAGCAATGAACAAAATATGCACCAATTCTCAACATATATGATAAAGGGTTTCGGTAAAGGTATTCTCATATTTTCTAAGCATGGAATTTCAAAAGAATCCATTTTTCAATTCTGCAGTTCATGACTATACAGATGACTGTTTTTATTGACAGGTAAGCCATTTATGACATACACAGCGCTAACACTGAGATATATTTCGTTTTATGTCCGAACAACCATCTGACTTACTACAAACATTTCTATATTGACACTTTGATCACTTTATCAGACAATAATTAAGTTACCTTGATATACACAATACAAATATATATATAAACATTGGTGTTCCAAATATGTCTGAAGAAGGAACTTTGTTCCCATTTGAAGACGGCCAGGCTAAATATCTCATTCGAAAAAACAATCTACCCTGACAAATAAACATTGAATTATATTCTTTGTACATAAGAGTGGAATAGATGCTTTCACCATGAAGAGAGATTCCCAACCACATACTGGCCAACCTTCCCCCTTTGGACCCTAAAATTGAGCTATTTCAACCAGGGAATTTGCTAAACTATTCCTAGTCTCTAAGATCTGATGATTTCAATTTGACAGAACAGCTCAAAAGATGCCAATTACAAGTTTGAGTTTTCCCTAGGTTGTACATAGTGCCTAGTGACTCATCTCCTGTAGAATTCCTCTACCGTAACTACATGTATCCACAGTAGAAAAACTCGGAGTGGAGGAGAACCTAGGCTGGTTGTTGATGGTCGAAAGTTGGTGGTAATACGAATCAGAGATGGATACCTAACGGTATTTAGTAGAGTTCCATATCAGAAGATAAATTCAAAGGATATATAAGATGGAGTGTCAACATCTAGATTGTGTTTTATTTACGGTTTTCATATTTTGGCTAGCTATAGGCTAGCAGGCATCAGAAGATGAAGGTTGTGATGACAGCTAGCCTAGCTAGCCGAAATATGTAAACCTTAAATAAACATGGAATCTAGATGTTGGAGCTCCATCTTACATATGTTTTGAATATCCACAATAGATACACAATACGTTAGATGTCCATGCTTTGGTCAGAGGATGCCCGCCTCCAGCCGTGCCTGCATGTGATATGGCTTCCTTTGGTCAGAGGATGCCCGCCTCCAGCCGTGCCTGCAATTGATATGGTATTGTGTCCATGGGAACCTCCTGGGAGTTCTGTAACAACATCTGTTCCCTACAAAATCAAATCATATTGAGATAGTAAGGTTATGCTTGGGATCTTTAGCTTTTTCTTCCTTTTATAACTTGTTCTTAAGGCTGTCTCTCTCTCTAGACACCCGTCTCCATACCAGGATTGAACGACATAGCAGGCTTTATGGAACATATATATGTAACAGATGTTAATGATAAACAAGAGGCTCAGGGGCCTTAAGAGCTCACCTGGTATTTGTTTTTTCAATTTGAAACCTGCTTAACACCATACATGTACCAGTTTATCAAAAGGGTACAAGAAATACAAGTTGCAACAAGGACTACATGAAAATCTGTTTTGGTGGTAAGATACCAAGAACATGAGTGTTCTTCATGCCAAGCAATTTTGTAATTGGTTAAGGCATGGGAATTGCAACTGTTTCCATGTTATGACCTAGGGAGGTAGTCTCCTGGGGTTGGTCTGGACCTCTGGACCAATCCTGGTAGCATGAATGTTTTCTTCTCATCATGCCTAAGAATTATTACATTTTGTTATAGGGTGGGGATACAATCCCTCAATTTACCTCTATTTCACTATTGGGCCACACCCCTTTACCCCTTCCATTTATACACAAATTAACTGCCCCAGGCAACATGTTGTTTAAATCCTTTCATTTGTACAAAAAGAGATAGATTTCTTACTATTTCCTCTACTGGGCCCCACCCCTCTGCCCCCAGGGGGGCTATTCCCCCCCTCCATTTTATACAAAAGTGTCTCAGTATTTAATGCTGGAGGTATAGGAGGGTGTGGTGGTTTAGGTGTAGGCTGTAGGGTATTGAGAGATGGAGGGCAGAGGGATTCAGAAGTTAGTTGCTGATCGAGGAAGTAAAGAGATTTAAATCGGAGAATAGCGCGTAATATTTGTCCTATAGGTACGTGAAGATCATATTAGGGCGAGTAATTTGTACGATGTGGTATTGACCAATGAGGTTGGAGCATGTGTGTGGGGTAGGACAAGGGTGGTTGTTATTGTGTCATTCTAGCTTCGGATGTAGACGGAATGTACAAGTTTTAAATCTAAAATGAATTTAAATTTATTTCATATGGAATGTTATGTTCATGAATATATAGAGAATATATGGGAATCGTATTTATGTTTGATGTATAGAAACTCCAGCAAAAACAAAAAACAAAAACCTGAAGCATAGATGGGCTGGTACACCTAGGCCTCCTGCTTCCTTAAAGGAGTTCAGGTTGGGTGGCGCGCTTGTTTTTTTTAGATAAATATGATTCGCAATGAGAGGGAGAGATTGTGGGTTGTGGAGTGAATTTGTCAAAATTGTATGGAAACGTCTTTATCGCATCAAATGTAATTATGATAAATGCCTGTTCTGTTTGTTCAATCGGCCGAGTAGCTACCTGTATATATCATGGTTGTTGTTTGTTTAATACAAGATGGAGTATATAGAGGGAGATGGTTTAGGAGTGGGAGCGAGTGGAGGTGGCTAAGGTGGTAGGAATTAGGGGAGATAAGCCAGGACGGACAACAGACAATACAGGAAAAAAAAGAGAAAAAATAAAATCTAACCTTCTTTCTCGCTGCTGTTTGTAACGCCTCCAAAAAATCATGCAGAAGGAGAAAACGAAGATGGCCGGCACTACGACCCCCATGATGATGAGCGCCACAAACATTGTCGCGTCCTTAGGGCTCATGATCTTGGAGGAAGTCTCGTCGTCTGTCGGGTTAAAGTTCCACCATGTGGGGGTCGTGTTGTTGGCAATGATACCTGTGAAAACAAAAAATTAGAACAACATGATAAGTTCAAAGGTCTTTATTGAAATATGGTGAGAGGCCAACGGAACTGATTATATTGGAGTCTCCTGTATCCTGTCTATAAAACAAACATACTAGCATAAGATGTTTTCTTGAGTACTTATAAAATGTTAATGTATTTTAAATGTGTTTCATGATGAACATATAGGTGCGTGTCAATTAACCTCTGAAACCTCCAATGAAGGAGATCTCCCTCATTCCACATTTCCAATGAGGGAGAAAGCGTGTGAAATGCAACTGAAACTGTTTTGCTTGATTTATTTATTTGTCCCTTTTTATGTATCAAAATAACTCCATGTTGGACTTGAATGAAGGAGTCTCCCTCCTAATGAGGTGATAGCTATGGATGAAGAATGTATCTATTGTGTCCAACCTCCTATGTGGCCATACCTGTCTGGTTATTTGAGGTAAGTCCAGTTGGTTTGACAGAGTTGTCTGTTCCATTGTTGGTGACACTCCAGCGGGAGCTCTGTCCAATGGCTGTACTCGAGGTTACCCAGGAAACAACATCCGAAATGTTGCTGATTGCTGTAGTTGCCATAGTGACTCAACTATTTATAACACATCAAGGTTGGATCACATTTTGGTCAACCAGTTCTCTGAAAGATAATATTATAAGACATGTCATTATCTAGAACACTGACAGGTCTGCAAAGGCTGTGCCATTTATCTGACACAACCCCTACACCATGTCTATTTTGAGTTAGTGCCCTTGACCTTTGACCTTTTTAAACCAGCCTATTGCATAAGCAACATATCTAAATATCAATTTTAAAAATATTGGTGTTTTGGATTCCAAGATTTTAAAGGCCATAGCCCATTATATTACCCAACCTTGCCACAAGTCTTGTTTTAGTAAGAGTGACCATGTTCTTGACCTTTGACAGAAACCCCTACGTATCACAGTGTATCATAAAGTCAAATCTCAGAAAGATCAGTCTGTTGGATTACAAGGTTAGGATGGTATTCTTCCAATAGTCTATTTTTAGAATCAGTAACCTTGACCGTACATTTTTTTTTAATCACCTACTGCATATCTACATATCAAAGTTATTGTAATATTATGCCAAATTTCAGAAAGGTTAGTCATTCTGCGATAAGAACCGTAACTCACACAAGCTATTTTTAGTATCAATGACATTGACCTTAGAAATGTATTAAATGTAAAACTCCTATTGCATATCTACAATATTACAATGTATGATGTCAAATTTCAGAAAGATCAGTCTTTCAGATTCCAAGATAATCTCAGGAAATGAAAAAGTGTGGATGGACCCAGTGATTACTATAAAGGGCACCTGCATCTCCAATGCAGGACCTTTTTTCAAATTTTACATTAATATACAATACAGCTACAATATATACAAACATATATATATATAGACACACATAATCATTCATTATCATACAAATACCAATACAATTATCAGAAAGGAAAGGTAGGGTTGTTTAAAATTTGTATTATATTTTGAATTTCTCTGTAAGCTGTCAGTGTGAGCGTAATCAATATTTACATTTACCAAATATAACAATGCAGGACCTTTATAGTTACAAGTTATATAGAAACAAGCTGATGCTTCCCTTTCATTGTTTTGAATTTAAAAGGCAAAATAATGGAAATATCAAAGTCAATATAGATTTCATTCCAATTTCTATTTCTATTGAGGATAGTTTTATAATTTCGGAAGAACTAAATGAAAAAAAAAATATGTAAATACTAGACAGGAATCACAAACATTAATTGATATATAAATTTTTGAAAGGTCAAAGGTTAATCTATATTTAGTCTCCTGTCATGCTACTCAAACTTTACTTGACAAAGGAAGAAGGTTATCAGAAGGGGAAAAAAATAAGAACACATCTGTAAGAAAAAATTCAAATAAGCTACATTTATTTAGTTTAAACACCTATAGGACTGCTGCAAGTTTGGCACTAGTGCAAGTTTAGCTTGCTGTATGAGAGTTATTGCCCATTATGTATAAAAATTGAACAGTTCTGTACGTACTGTTAACAGTGATCTTGAATGCTAAAACCAGAGACGTATATTTGTAATATATACGTTTCTGCTACAACACACGTACTGACTTATAACAAACCCCATAGATTAAATCTGTACATCACTTTCAGAAATGGACTAGCAGAAATATTTGCATGTATACAACTGTCAAGCCATAGATGAGTTTAAGGTCACCATTCCACTTAAGACAAAAAACTTAAGACTTCTACTGTAGATTTTCATAAACACAGCGACCTCCCCTAAATTTCCTTTGTATATGACCGTTATAGGGTTCAGGGAAGGAACTACCACTGACCTCACACCTGTGTTGTTGATATACTTTTTATTTCGTCTTTCCTATTTATTTTTGGAAAATATCTGTGAGAAGTTTGTTTTCAGAGTTTTTTGTTTTATTATATATCACCAAGCTGGTAGAAGAGTCTGATTCATACAGTTAATATTTATTTTATAATTCTTTCATTACATTTGTTATGTTATTTGCTTCTTGTATTTTGAAATATTTACATAAACTTGACAGATTGAAGAATATTAATTATAAGACTGCAACTAATTTTTAACCTGTTACTACACTTACCCGCGGTAATTAAACTTAAAACAATACTAGGTGAAAACAATAACAATTCCATAGAAGAAAAGTTTTTTTGTAAAAAGAAAGTGTTATCAGTATCATCTGATGGCAAATAAATCCACCTCTCCTTATAGTACAAAGATAACGGATTAACACTCTTGTTTTACAATTCCCTGTGTTGTAAGGTGAGAACACATATTACGTTGCATGTCCCTTTGATTTTAAGGGAAATCATGTCCCTGTGTTGTCAGATGACAAACTTGATCAGTCAACTCACACTCACAGGCACTAGGTATATAGCAGGCACGGGGTAATGGTAATGTGTAATGGTAATTAATTACATTTTGTTAAGTAATTGGATATAATGTGTAATTGAGGATTTTTTCAATTACATGTAATGGTAATTTAATTAAAAACATTGAAAAATGTATGTAATGCCCAATTACTTTTAATTACTTTAATGTTGAAGTTTATGCACCTTTATACATTTTAATCAAATAGATAGTTTCCAAAGTAAATCTTTATTATGTATGAACACATGTTGTAAGTAAAATTTATTGCATGGTCTTCGAGTAACAAGGGATTTATTACACCCGAGCTAAGCGAGGGTGTAATAAGTCCCGAGTGACGAGAAATCATGCAATAATGGCTTACTGCATGCTTCCCAACTCGAACAACACAGAAAAGTTGAGTAAAAAATGTTCATCTTGACAATCTTTTTACCTACCCTACACTGCAGATAATTTACATGTACCTGTGTGAGTGAGTACTAATTATAACCAGGTAAGATTCTCAATACCCCAGTCTGATTGTATCCTTCATAATGGATACAAGTGTTTTTCGATTACTATCCAGGTCCAGTGTCAGGGAAGGTAAGGAGTGTCTGTTCAAAATACGGGAAACAATGTTGAATTTCTGACTACATTTTCAGTTTAATTTTCAAGATGTGGCAAAGGTACAGGATATTGAAAACATTTTCACATATACAATGTAAGGGTTTATCAATCCCTAAGGAATTCCAGTTCTTTCAATGAATGGTATATTTGAATGTGCAATTTTGTATAAAGGAACAGCTCCTTAAGATTATAAAATTTTCCGGGAAATACTTATCCTCTCGCGTGATAAGGAAATCTTTTTATGTTTTTCAATCATGAAATTACCATTTTTAACTTTCATTTTTTCCCCTTATTTTAAATGTGTCAACTGAGTTTATCCTTTCCACTGTATTGACTTCATCGTTACTCACTGATTGATTATCTCCCCTTTCTTACAGAATTTGTGGCCACAGTCCACTGGGCACACCCCCTTTCATGGTCATGTAATCATGATTGGTAGCAAGTGATTTATTGCCCACACTTTTCCACTGTGAGAGGTGGGAAGTATGCAGCAAGAGGTTATACCAGTATTGATCCTAACCCCTTATTCCTAGCTTATAGCTATTGTCCTCCTTCCCAGAGACCAGGTAACTTAATTGTGATTTTAATTACAAAAGATTGCTACACAGTGAGTACATGTATCACAACAGGGTAGTAGACTATTCAGAAATTACTGCATACTTCCCACCTCTCACAATGGAAAAGTGTGGGCAATAAATCACTTGCTACCAATCATGATTACATGACCATGAAAGGGGGTGTGCCCAGTGGACTGTGGCCACAAATGCTGTAAGAAAGGGGACAGATTTCCTTATCACGTTAGAGGATAAGCATTTCCCGGAAAAGTTTATAATCTTAAGGAGCTGTTCCACTATACAAAATTGCACATTCAAATATACCATTCATTGAAAGAACTGGAATTCCTTAGGGATTGATAAACCCTTACATTGTATATATGAAAATGGTTTCAATATCCTGTACCTTTGCCACATCTTGAAAATTAAACTGAAAATGTAGTCAGAAATTCAACATTGTTTCCCGTATTTTGAACAGACACTCCCTACCTCCCTGACACTGAACCTGGATAGTAATCCAAAAACACTTGTATCCATTATGAAGGATACACTCAGACTGGGGTATTGAGAATCTTACCTGGTTATAATTAGTACTCACTCACATAGGTACATGTAAATTATCTGCAGTGTAGGGTAGGTAAAAAGATTGTCCAGGTGAACATTTTTTAAACAACTTTTCTGTTTTGTTCGAGTTGGGAAGCATGCAGTAAGCCAGTTATTGCATGATTTCTCGTCACTCGGGACTTATTACACCCTCGCTTTGCTCGGGTGTAATAAATCCCTTGTTACTCGAAAACCATGCAATAACCTTTACATTCTATCTTTGTAAGGGTGAACTTATAGTGAACAGTCCTAACACTGAATTACACCTACACTTAAAAACTTGAACAACCATATTTGAGCCATTTTTAAATTCCCAAACACACAACAGGGTATTTCAAGGCAAGATGGATTTCTTCAGTTTTCTGCCAGTAACCCCAAGGAAAAGACACCAATCTGGGTTGGCACCAAAGGAAGTAGAGACATATCTCGAAAACCTTTGTATTGACATGGAGGATGACCCTTTGCCATTTTGGCAAACAAACTCTGTCCGATACCCTGTTCTGTTAAAACTCGCTATCAAGTATCTGAGACTATTATGTACCTCACATAGGACATCTTCAGTCGAGAGACTATTCAGTTTAGCCGGGAAGATATTCTGCCCAGACAGATGCCGTCTAAGTGACGAAACTTTTGAACATCTGATGATGATAAAATGCAATATGCATGTTTACATATGAAGTGTAAGCTGTCTAAGCAGAACATCTTCCTAGAGTTGAGTACATGTACATGTACATACCATGCGAGTGTATGCATACATTTTGTATATCTATAGTGATGTAAATTCCCTGTATGAAACACAAACAACAGGTTGATAACAAATAAAGGTAAACATGTCATTTAAACTTGAAATTTTATTGGCCTGGATTAAAAATAATATACCCAGTATATTAAATAAAAGTAATGTGTAATGGTAATTAATTACATTGGCAATGCAATTGTAATGGTATTTAATTACATTAAGAAAACCATGTAATGGTAAGGGTAATGCAACTGTTCCAATGTAATGTACATGTGTAATTTAATTAATTACATTACCATTGTAATTGCCCCATGCCTGGTATATAGACTATGTATATATAAGCTTTGCGTGTTTTTACAGACGGAGCTATCATGATAATATCACACGAACGAATCTTGCTCGAAAAAATATAACGTTATCTAAAATTGTGCTCTATCTTAAAATTCAAAAGTTATTTAGTTCGCTCAAACTATTCTACTAGTTCCTGGTTAAGCCTCAGATTGGTCTCTGATCTTGTGACGTAACATTGACACCGCTGTATAGTCTTGCATCGTATGTAGATAATACATTATATACAATTGCAATAAAGCAAGTAACGCATTGTTTTACCTTTCGCTTTCACACCGAGATGATATACCTGTGTTTACCTTTGTAATGAACACCTGTCTGAAAACTTCCAAAGTAAGGGAGGTAATCAATACCTATACGCACACATATATAGAGATTGCTTTGTGAGTTCACGGAATTAGATTAGATCAAAGTCCGAGGTCAGTTGTATGATCATCGCAAACTATTTCAAACAGAATAAATTGGAAATCATACCGTTAAATCTCTGGGGCATAATTTTTATTGATAGGTAATTAGTTATTCGATCAAACAGCAATCAACAGTAATAAAGCAATGACGTTTCTGGAGAGAATAATACTTATTATTGTATTATATATCTGAATTGTTCTCAATATTTCATAAAATATGGAAATAAATCTATGGTACTCAGCTTTAAAAAATGTATCCAAATACCTTTGTAACCAATTGTGATACATCTAATCTACTTATCAATTATCATACATTATTTTAGTATACATTTATAGATAGCTCATTGAAATCATCGTTATACAGCTGTGCAAGATAGCGCGTATATTTAGTATTATATATTTAATTGCTCTCAACATCCCATAATATACGAAAATAAGTCTATGATACTCACCTTTAACAAATGTATCCAAATATTTTGTAGTCAGCTGTGATATCTCTGATCTACTATGATCATATATGATTTTAGAAATAGTATCGATATATCGATCTCATTAACTTTATTCCGTCTTTGCGTATTGCAGAGTTATCTTCTCTTGTGAGCAGGTATTGATTGTTACGTCATTTGTTTGTGAGAGTAACGTCATCAATTTTTGAGAAAACGACGCAATTTTCTTGCACGAACCAATGACGTAACAATCAATACCTGCTCACAAGAGAAGATAACTCTGCAATACGCAAAGACGGAATTAACGGATATACAACATATTATGGAGTATCTAATTAAATTTTATTTAAGAATGCATCTATTGAGAAGACAACAAGCGGTCAAAGTGGCGAAGATGTTGAGTCCATGTGTGTCCATCTATTGATTTTTAACATGTAACTGCAGAACAAGTATACGGAAAAAAACACTGCTATAATTGTCTCCTAACTCATAACGGTATAAGGTCTACTTAAACACGAAAGCGATGCAAAAAAGGTAAATAAAAAGGAATATATGTCCCTTTACTATTTTCCGCAGATTATCAAATCGGGAAAAGCATGGTCGAACTAAGTTTGTGTGGGTTGAAAGGTATAACTTATCCTAATAAATATTATAAAATACATTATTATTTTCAAGAAAATCTTGAAACAGTATACATAGGGGTAAACTAAATCATGTCTATAAATTCACTGCTACATTAAACGTTCATTATTCACACATCTGGTGTCAACTGTCATGTCCGTCTTGACATACGTAGGTTATTTATACATATCAGACTAGTACACACTAACCTGAAATCAGGGTTAATTAGACATACAAACACCGTAAACTAGACACGATATATTGGTTGACAGCACAAGCTTAAATGATAAAGATTGCAGAATGGACAACACAAGGTCAGATGTTCACCTCCTGGCACTCAGAATGTCACAGAGTGATTTAGGTAGTAGCGTATAGTACAGTGTTACTATTTATTGGCACGTGCAATCATGTCATACGGGCAGAACTTCCTGATCTATCATATCCAGTGCGGCTTAAAAGAGTAAATTTACCTTCTTTGAGCTTCGGATGTGCAAGAGACAACGGAATTAAAACGTTTAAGAAAACGAGAGGCACCTATGATCGAAAATGGTGGGATTTCCTTACACTGTGGTAGAATATTTCCAAAAGACATGGTACAAGGGGGCATTCCAAAGAATAGTATCCACAATATTCAAACATTGAAATCAGGAAGCACTTTATTCCTACGAGTAGTAAAATTAAAAAACTTTTTTTTTCAGAGGAAAATATATCGGCACCATCAATAAATATATTCAAAAACAAACTCGATAAACATTGTTTTGATCAGACACTTAAATATAATTGCAGAGCTAGCATACTTTGTTAAAAATGTGATGTGCATAACCGAACTTTCATATAGGGGTACAGGTATGTATTTCTTTAAACATGTTAGAGTCCTATGTAGCGGATTAAACAGATCCTGTGTCGAAAAATCTTAACTAAGCGTTAAGGAAAATGCCAATTTTTAACATAACTTATGAAAATCGAAGGCCATATTTATAAAGAACATGAGTGTTCTGTTTTGGGTATGTGTATGTCTCTATAGGTGAAGAAGCTGGACGGAAATTTGTTATGATTAAACTGACCATTTAGCATAAATATTGATAACAAGGATCAAACGAACTGATACAACGACTTTGCGAGTATCAACAGCTTCAATGTCATCCAATGTCATTCGATTGTAAATAATTAAGCAATTTCACGGACTAACTATCCAGATTGTTGTAAATTTACGCTAGAAAGGGACATAACTTTGGCAGCCTTATTTGGAAACCAATCTCTACCCAGAAAGTGAGTGTTAGGAACGACAACTCTGGGTAGATATTGAGACAAGACGTGATCATATAAGTCATATAAATAAAACAGCGAATCAAAGTTCTTAGATTGAGCTAGATGGAGAATTGGCGATAATGCAAAAGACAATACTGCACACCTGGAATTAATGCTTCAGTTTTATTTTCACCAATTTGGGCGATGTTTTCATTAAGTAAACATTAGAAATAGAAAGCGACATAATTAACACAGTTACTAAAAGTGAATGGCAAAAATTAACAATACGAATATGGATGTCAGCGGTGCTAAACTTTCCCGGTATAGAGTATTTTGAAAACATATACACACAATAAACTGCTGACTGCCCTATGTGTGTATGCCCGCGTGTATGCTGGAGCTGTATTGTGACCAAAACTGTCTTTTTAAAAATGTACGTATTTATCGGTGCGAAGGAATAACACACGTCGCTTGCAGGGGCGTTTCTAGGATATTTGAAAGAGGGGGCGTAGAATCAAATCTGTCGGCGAGCGGAGCGAGGCTAAAATATTTTTGGACCTTTTTTTTGGTTAAAAAATTGTGAAATGCACTAATGTAACGGTTCCTGACTTGGAGTATGTATATATTATAGTTAAAGTGTCAGGGTGTTTATGTGTTTAATTAATGAATATGATAAATTGCCATATTCAATACAATATAAGCAGATAACGATATTTTTTTTATTTATTTTTTTGAAAAGGGGGTGGGGGGGGGGGGGCGCACGCCCATTACGCCCTCACCTGGACCCGCCCCTGGCTTGTTTGTTCTCAATAGATGCAACAGCTGTATGGTGCAGTGTCATTCATGTGTGGCGTTTTATATTAAATATCTACCATTTTAGATTATTTCAATGCTAGTTCTTTATAATTTAATCTTGCTTGTAACAAGCATTTTCATTGGCTTAAAAAAATATGTTATCAGCCCATAACGTAAAAAATGTCGTCGCCGTTTGTAACGTCGCTTTTGATTTGCTGATACAGCAGCGCAATAATTTCTAAATGAAAAGAGTCCATCAATAAAAGTGGATTTCCACAGGGATTGTGTATAGTAGATTAAATTATAAGGATTAACTTGAATATATTTTTCATGTTATGGAGGTATAACACAAACAAACGTAGTGTACTCTCATAAACCGCTTCGCGGTTTATTTAGAGTACACTCCGTTCTTTTGTGTTATACCTCCATAACATGAATAATATATTCAAGTTAATCCTTAAATAATGTGCTATATAAACATATAACTTAGTAAATTTTTACACTCTATTTACATGACTTTATGCATTTTGGGATAATTTGAATATGTATATGTGATAAAGGTATTTAAAAACCCCTGATGATTTTGTTAACTTACTTTTAACTCCTACCATGATTTACTAGGACGTTGCCGATTGTATGCGGAATAGATGTATTTAGTGTTAACAAAGCGTGTTATCATTAATCATAAAAAACTATGTTTATGACATGTTAATGACAGTAATGATATAAGGACAAAATACCATTGTTAAATAATATGACGATAATGACTAATAAATTAAATCCTCCTTAACGTCGTCCTCCTGACAAATACACTGACAATAGTGCTTGTCCTCGTACAGGTTACGACTTTTATGATGGAAGATTTTACATGATAATGCTACAGAAACACACTGCAATAACTAGCGTGTTATAATTGGTCATTCATCCGAAGCTATCCCAGCTTGTTACCTGTGCTATAAAATGTCACACAGACATTCATTATCATTTGTACCTAAAGCGATCCTTTGATAAAATGATTATACGTAGGTCACGGTTTATACCACAAATTGAACACAACAATACTCCGATATATATATAATATTTTTTAATATTTACATTTGTCCTGCATTGTCACTAAAAACTTAACAAAGCTCGCTGTCAGTTAAGAACCGTAGCTGATAACTTAGTACTTACAACATGGCCTCATGACCATAACTTCGGTTGTTGTATTTACCTCAAATTGAAACCAAAAGAGACGAAATAAGATTATTTATGAATTTATTTAAAATATGAAAAATATAAATGTAAAATTGTGTTCTGGTCAGTGCTATATATAGTACATCTATTCTGAACAAGATTGACAAATAATTATAGAGCGCCAATGCTGCAATCCCGTTTAACATAGAACGATAGTGCAGTTAGATGCCTTATATAATAAAGATAATTATATTTTCGCAAAAACTTACTTTTTTGAAATATCATTGAACAATTTTTTTTTGTCGACAAAACGAACAGTAACAATCCACCAAAAAAACATTTCTGCAGATGTGTTTTGCATAGACTAGCTTCTATCCTGATCATTATCCTGTATGTAGTAATTCAAAAACAATTCCGCATGGTTTCGGTTTATATACTGAGCAGTCTTGAACCCGCCATTGATATTCCTTAGTAGGGATGCGTTCGGTAAAGATCACCTACAAATACTACAGAATTTAATATATAGTCATATGATAACGTCTCCGTATCTTATATCCTTTCTTTAGATGTAGATTTAGCTAAATAATAAGGACAGCTATAATGACCTGACGTTGTTTTCTGGTGAGCCTCGGCAAAGACTTCCGAACCCTGCATTAACTTACGCAGATGCCTCCAGGTGTATCCCTAACATATTATATTGATGAATCATAGAAGAAACGATTTTTTAAAACTGTGTATTTACATGGTTTTGCTTAAAACCATTTTGCAATGTTTGTGAAAGATTTTTTTGAATAAAATGACATATGGTTAGTGTCACGAATATTTTATTTGATATTAAATATGCATAACGTTAATCGTTAACGTTAAATAACGTTTAAAGATGAATTTTCCTGACTTACTTTATTTAAAAACACATTGTTACGGCGGGAACAAAATTAGAAACAAAGTTGATATATGTTATCATGAAGCAGAGTATTGCGTTTTAAACATTTGAAAATCCCTTCCAGACCTGCCTACAGCAACCAAAGGCACGTGATTTCGTTGAGTGGAATGGAATTACCTGACTTTTAATTCCTAGTGCTGTAAGTTTTCACACGACAGGTAAAATTATAGGATACATCCTGACTTTTACTTCATACACTGATGGAATGATCCAGATTCATACATTAGGCCAGAATTCAGTCTTAAACGTTTGATATCATTATAGCATTTATTTTTCTCAAAAAAACTTTGGCAAGAAAAGAAGAAGCAGAGGTCTTTATATATTTTAAATCGTATTTACCAGCGGAAGCTAATTTCGTTGAAAAAAAAGCAAACATATTGCAAATAGCTAAATGACGAATGGTGATAAAGTGTAAAACAGTCCAAGAGTATGTGACAAATATAATTGTAGAAAGAAAGAGAAAACTAGGAAGTTTTCGTATTGGGGTCTAAAGCTGGCAGACCATAGTAAATGTCTGAGGAAATACATGTATATTATCAAAATGAAAAGTTTAAAATATCTTGTTTTGGCATAGAACCTTATCAGATCCGATAGTTCTCGATCCAGCTTAACCTAAAATGACCTTTAAGATAAACATTACAAAACATTATTACTTCAAGAGATACTCCTGACATTAAAAACAATCTAGATAACGTAATAACGACACATCTTAACTCGTCATAACGAGATAAATAAGTCGTAATAACGAGATAAATTAACTAAACGACATAACCTAACTCGGCATAACAGGATATCGTAACTCGTAGAAACGACAAAGCTCAACTCGCAATAACGAGATATAGTAACTCGTAGAAACGACAAAACTCAACTCGCAATAACGAGATATAGTAACTCGTAATGACTACAAAGGTCAACTCGTAATAACGAGATATAGTAACTCGTAATGACGACAAAGGTCAACTCGCAATAACGAGATATAGTAACTCGTAATGACGACAAAAGTCAACTTGTGATAACGAAATATAGTAACTCGTAATGAATACAAAAGTCAACTCGTAATAACGAGATATAGTACTTAGTAATGACGACAAAAGTCAACTCGTAATAACGAGATATAGTACTTAGTAATGACGACAAAAGTCAAATCGTAATAACGAGATATAGTAACTCGTAATGACTACAAAAGTCAACTCGTAATAACGAGATATAGTACTTAGTAATGACGACAAAAGTCAAATCGTAATAACGAGATATAGTAACTCGTAATGACGGCAAAGGTCAACTCGCAATAACGAGATATAGTAACTCGTAATGACTACAAAGGTCAGCTCGTAATAACGAGATATAGTAACTCGTAATGACTACAAAAGTCAACTCGTAATAACGAGATATAGTAACTCGTAATGAATACAATAGTCAACTCGTAATAACGAGATATAGTACTTAGTAATGACGACAAAAGTCAACTCGTAATAACGAGATATAGTAACGCGTAATGACGACAAAAGTCAACTCGTAATAACGAGATATAGTAACTCGTAATGAATACAAAAGTCAACTCGTAATAACGAGATATAGTAACTCGTTGAAACGACAAAGCTCAACTCGCAAAAACGAGATATAGTAACTCGTAATGACGACAAAAGTCAACTCGTAATAACGAGATATAGTACCTAGTAATGACGACAAAAGTCAACTCGTAATAACGAGATATAGTAAATCGTAATGAATACAAAAGTCAACTCGTAATAACGAGATATAGTAAATCGTAATGAATACAAAAGTCAACTCGTAATAACGAGATATAGTAACTCGTAATGAATACAAAAGTCAACTTGTGATAACGAGATATAGTAACTCGTAATGAATACAAAAGTCAACTCGTAATAACGAGATATAGTAACTCGTAATGACGACAAAAGTCAACTCGTAATAACGAGATATAATAACTCGTAATGACGACAAAAGTCAACTCGTAATAACGAGATAAAGTAACTCGTAATGACGAAAAAAGTCAACTTGTGATAACGGGATATAGTAACTCGTAATGACGACAAAAGTCAACTCGTAATAACGAGATATAATAACTCGTAATGACGACAAAAGTCAAATCGTAATAACGAGATAAAGTAACTCGTAATGACGAAAAAAGTCAACTTGTGATAACGGGATATAGTAACTCGTAATGACGACAAAAGTCAACCCGTAATAACGAGATATAGTACCTAGTAATGACGACAAAAGTCAACTCGTAATAACGAGATATAATAACTCGTAATGACGACAAAAGTCAACTCCTGATAACGAGATATAGTAAATCGTAATGAATACAGAAGTCAACTCGTAATAACGAGATATAGTACCTAGTAATGACGACAAAAGTCAACTCGTAATAACGAGATATAATAACTCGTAATGACGACAAAAGTCAACTCGTAATAACGAGATATAGTAACTCGTAATGACGACAAAAGTCAACTCCTGATAACGAGATATAGTAACTCGTAATGAATACAGAAGTCAACTCGTAATAACGAGATATAGTAACTCGTAATGACGACAAAAGTCAACTTGTAATAACGAGAAATAGTAACTCGCAATGACTACAAAGGTCAACTCGTAATAACGAGATATAGTAACTCGCTATGACGACAAAAGTCAACTTGTAATAACGAGAATAGTAACTCGCAATGACTACAAAGGTCAACTCGTAATAACGAGAAATAGTAACTCGCAATGACTACAAAGGTCAACTCGTAATAACGAGATATGTAATAACGAGATATAGTAACTCGTAGAAACGACAAAGCTCAACTCGCAATAACGAGATATAGTAACTCGTAACGACGACAAAAGTCAACTCGTAATAACGAGATAAAGTAACTCGTAATGACGAAAAAAGTCAACTTGTGATAACGGGATATAGTAACTCGTAATGACGACAAAGGTCAACTCGTAATAACGAGATATACTAACTCGTAATGATGACAAAGGTCAACTCGTAATAACGAGATATAGTACCTAGTAATGACGACAAAAGTCAACTCGTAATAAAAAGATATAGTAACTCGTAATGACGACAAAGGTCAACTCGTAATAAAGAGATATAGTAACTCGTAGCAACTAGAGTAATGGCTTCCCTTGATGTGCGAGGTCAGAAATGTGAATTGAGCAACTCATATAAAGAGGGTCACATGACCTGTCATTACAACTAAAGATCCCCAGCAAATACAAGTGAAAGTCATCGGTCCCTGTAAGAGTAGGTTCACTGGTAATAAAAGTGTAAGTCCCAACTCAATAATAAGTTCTGGTCTTCTGTCAGTACAAATGTTGGTCTCCTGTAAGTACGAGTGGAGACCTCTAGTAAACAGAAGTTTAGGTCCCAGTTAATAGAACAGTGAGCCTCAGCCAGTTGATGAGGACTGGCTTACATTAATTTGATTGCTGTTCCACAGGTAAAAGAGAAACATTTTACTGCTGTTATAGTAATTTAAATTCCAGCTGTGTAGATGCCATCCGACCACAAAATTTAAAGAAGATCCTGACAGTCCTCAAAATGTTTTGAAGGATATCATTGTATGAGGATGGTATACATTTAAATATAGATCCAGTCCGATTATGTCTTAACTCGTAATAACGAGATAACGTAACTGGAGTAATAACGAGATAAATTAAGTGGTAATAACGCAACTCGTAACAAAGAGATAAAACTATTTTCGTGTGGTACTAATCGGCTTTCATTGAACACGTCTGAAAAAACCCTGAGCTAAAAATACTGGTGTTGGTATAGACACTTATCAGAAAAGATAGCCGCCCTAACAAGACAACCTTACCTGGTAATTCAGATAAACACCAGACATTAACAAACATTGCAAAATACCTGCGTTGGTATAGAACTGTATCAGATCCTATCCTTGTATATAAAACACTGTAAGTCTCTTATATTGTCGCATTAGGCGTCAGATACAAAGAACATGGCGTGGTTATCTCTCCATCTGTTTGTCACCCTGTACCTGTGTCATTACTCCTGTTTATACTGTACGAACGCTGCCAAACATGAGACAGTTATGTCGCCGTTACTTCGAACAACAAAAAGGTAAATCAATATTCTCGGGGAAGTTTTCGTCAATTGTAATAAATGCTATTAACGAGAAAATTCCATAGTAGTAAAGAATCATTTATGTTGTGTTCGTATTTCGCAGTGAGGACATACTATGTTTTTAAGGGGGCTTACGTGTACTGCGTCAAACATGTTTATGCCACCTGAAACCCCTGGGCTTTTAACAAAAATAATCACATCTTTATTTGTATTACAATGTCGTTTTAAATTTCCTCATGAATTGTATTATTCGAAAAAAACAAATACAGCATGTCTAAATGTTGATACGAAGATCTCTTCACCGATGGACAACTTTAAATGAGACAGCTATTTGTTTTCAAAAAGGCGTTGTGTTCCTGGTAGTTTTTTCATGAATTATACTTTTTCGATTTGTAATATTATTAATGAGGTTAAGCAGGTTTTGATCACCTTTTCGGTAACAGGTAGATGTGTTGTTGGAGATGCGACTGTAGGCGCTTTAGACAAAGCCAACAAAACGTACCCAAATATTTCCTTTAATTTACCCGATTTATCTTGGTTACAATGGTTTTGATTTGTCGAATAGTAAAATAATGAAGAAAATAAGCAGTAAGCAAACCGGTAGGAATTTCACGTTTTGTTTTGTTTTGTTAATAATTGATATTCGTTTCAGTCTGTCAGTAACCGATGAGCTGTTGGAAAGTCTCATGAGGAGAGTTGACGAACAGGAAGGCAGACTGCAACATCTTGAAACAACGGTGTCAGAAAATGTCGAGGCATTGAGAACCAAGGATAGGCTGATTGAAGCTCTAATGAGGCGTGTCGGAAATATGGAATTCAAAACGAGGCTGGATAAATCTCGATCAATCCGGTCAGTACCAGATCCAACAGCAGACCAACGCAGACCAGCTAAAACTGCTGTCAACCAGCTGGGGGTAAATGGAACTGAGATCGATGAGATACAAAACGCAGGTGACCATTACCATAGGGCTAGAAATGGATCTTGGCTGAGTGAACGTGCGGTTAGACCACATACAGCTCAGCACCAACCGCCACAAGATGGAGCTGCCGAACCAAGGAAATGGTCAAGTATGTTGTATATTTATCTTCCGTAGGTTTTATCATGATGGTATTGTTATACTATTGGCGCACGTTTGTAACGTTATTTTACTCACAGAACACACGATTTTCACATCTTTAAAGTTTTGAAATCTGAATCTGTTATAGTTTATATATTTATGAAACCGAACCTACATGCACTGCGCTTATCTATCGACCAATTCGGTTTGGAAACCTTTACATATACACCGATTTCATTTTTTACATTCATTAATGTGACTTAAACAGAAAGAGTTTATGTTATTTTACTGGGTCATTGAGTCTGGAATCCCGTGCATGTATGGGATGATCTGTCATATTTCAATACCCGAAAGAGGTGTCAAGTATTGGTTTCTGGCGGAAGTGGTTTGTCTGTTCCTATTGCATTGTGGACACTGAAAAAACACCCTTATTCTGTCTCCCTCATCCGTACATAACAATATTTAATGTCCTTTATGCTCTTTGTGAATAATCGCCTTCATAATAACACACATAATCCTCAACTACATTCGGTATGCCTATGTGCGGCAGAATGTTGATAAATTGCTAACATTTAATACGATGTAGTTTGTTATATGAATTGAAACGTGAAAAGGTAGCTGTGTCATAGAAAAGGTGACGGACACGACAGAATGCAAATAATATACAGGGAACAATGATACGTATCAGACAAAGACAATTCATCACAAGAAATGTTAACACTGCAATTTATGGGAAAGGATACACTATAGGCTTGTAATATTCCACTACATGTTTTTTCATTTTTTTAGACAGGCCTGAATTTAATTTCGACTTATTTGAAGCCTACACATGTTCAACATTCTCTCTAGGTTTTAATTGGTTTTTGCTCTTTATGCCATAAAGTATTTTATACAGTTTAACGTTCTTTCATTATAATTTGCAGATCGTGTCGGACCTGCAGTGTCACATACCAATGTGGCTTTCAGTGTAACATTAAGTAGTGATATGACTCTAAACGCACACGAAACGATCGTTTACAACCACGTCATCCTTGACAACACTAACATGTTTAATTCAAGGACCGGGGTCTTCTCTGTCCCTGTCAGCGGTGTGTACGTGTTCACATGGTCTTGTACTAGCGGGCGTAATGGAGGTGGAACCGTGAGAACATCTTTAAGGATCGATGGTGTATCGAGATGTGTTACCTATGCAGATTCGCCTAACGACGGTGACTTCGAGAGCAGCACAGGTCTCATAGTGACCTCCGTTAACGAAGGTGTCACGGTTTACATCAGGGCAGAAGAGTCCGGAAAAATTATGAACAATCACTACGCGGTCGCAACTTTTTCTGGCTGGCGATTGTTCTAAATGTTTTGACAAATTCCAACATTCCATATTAAATCAATTAATTATCACAGTTTTGAAGCTTTGTGATATTAGGTCAGTTATTGGAATAATTTATAGTTTAAGTCAATACTAGGTGTTTTGCTAAAATTACTCATATATATATGTCATTATAAACGCCATCTCAGTATCCATGTCACTTATTTCTATAACTTATGATACGGAATCAAAATTTCATTCAAAGTAAAAACGTATTTTGCTAACTTATATATGCCATGCTTTGTTAGACGGCAATCCATGGTTTGTTATACGACAAGCCATGCTTTGTTAGACGGCAAGCCACGCTTTGTTATACGACAAGCCATGCTTTGTTAGACGGCAAGCCACGCTTTGTTAGACGGCAAGCCATGCTTTGTTAGACGGCAAGCCATGGTTTGTTATACGGCAAGCCATGCTTTGTTATACGGCAAGCCATGCTTCGTTATACGGCAAGCCATGGTTTGTTATACGGCAAGCCATGGTTTGTTATACGGCAAGCCATGGTTTGTTATACGGCAAGCCATGGTTTGTTATACGGCAAGCCATGCTTTGTTATACGGCAAGCCATGGTTTGTAAGACGGCAAGCCATGGTCTGTTAGACGGCAAGCCACGCTTTATAAGACGGCAAGCCATGCTTTGTAAGACGGCAAGCCATGCTTTTCAGTAACTGTTTTCACTACAACATATGCAACATTTTCCGACTAATGTTCATCCTAAATAAAAAATAAAATACCAAATACCACATGTTAGTTTTTTTCTATTAATTCTCTTATTTCAAGAGAATTTTTTTCCGGGAAAAACTAATATCGTGTAAATGCATGTACAGTATAACTTGTCTTATCAGGATCCCAGTCTAAACCGGCTGTGGTTTGTGGTCCCGGCATATTCCATATATAATCATAGTAGTTAAACCCTGTATAAACCGGACACTGTCAATTCTGTAAACCGGCGTTGTTTCACAAAAGTTGGCATAGTAATCTATGTAAAAACAACCTGTTCATTCCGGTCCTGAAATTTCTCGCGGCTGGCTACAATCTACTGCAAACTCATTCTAAACAAATTTGCGCTATCCAATGTCGGGTCGAAGACCCGGCTGTGGACCACGAGGACGACCCGTATGATGACATCCCATATATAATCATAGTAGTTTAACCCTGTATAAACCGGACACTGTCAATTCCGTAAACCGGCGTTGTTTCACAAAAGTTGGCATAGTAATCTATGTAAAAACAACCTGTTCATTCCGGTCCTGAAATTTCTCGCGGCCGGCTACAATCTACAGCAAACACATCTAAACAAATTTGCGCTATCCAATGTCGGGTCGAGGACCCGGGTGTGGACCACGAGGACGACCCGTATGATGACATCCCACTCGCTCACCTGCTACTATTCACTACCGTTGATATAGATCACGCGAGTGAAATTGAAGAGAGCATAGAAACCGAGGAGGCTTATTCAGGAGACTGGGAATCTACACTTGTTCATGATTTCTTAAATGAAAAGGAGGACGAGGAGATATTCGATGACGACGACACGGACGGGGATGACACGGTAACCCAGCCCCTGGATCAGATATGACACACCGGAAAGTATACTCGCGTTTGACTGAGATGTTCGCTTTTGCGGTAAAAAAAGATGACCGCTATTTATAACCTATTGCGTATTTTAAAACAATGACGGAAGACATAATTGTCAAAGAAAAAGCGGGTCACAAACACAAATCAATGACAGACAAAAAAAAAATTGATTGAACGTGAACTACTTAATTTGTATTATATACTGTATATTTTGTAAATAATTTAACGTTGCAATTTATTAATTTCTCTGTTGTTTATGTTGACACACTTGTATAAAGATCCTTTGCAAAACACTACACTTTTGCATTTTCAAAAAATGACATGCCGACCCTGTATAAACCGGACACCTGTGTAAACCGGCCAAATAGTTTAGTCCCGATGACATCCGGTTTAGACACATTATACTATATATGGTTTCGGTAATGTTTGAGCATAACATGTGAAAAGTACGACAAAGGCCTAAATTCAATATACAACAGTTTTGTAAATTTCGGTAACCAGAGTTTTCAGTAGACTCTAGGCATTCACATGAGGCTGATTAATACAGTGTTTATTTTTACACTACCAAGTCATCCCTGGAAGTCGGAATTGAGAAAAGAATGCACCTGCTGTTACCCACTGCATGATCGTAAAATGCGTCTAAAGTGGGGATTTGCGCTTATGCCCTCTACATCTGGACACAAAAACGAACAAAAGAAATCTGCTGCACCCATTGCGATATTTTGAATCTTCATATTTCTCTTTACTTCTTACTAAGTTTCCTAGTGCCTCGCTAGACAAAACCGCACTTTTGGCTTTAATCATGAATGTTCGCCTGGGGAGAGAACCCATTGCCTTCCTCACTCAGGCGAATGTCCTGTAATATATCGAAAATTTAGATGGTGCCAACGATTAAGTGTTTAATTGTTTTATTATTTCATTATGCATTTTATCGTCTGAACTATTCCAAACAGTCGGACATAAAACAATCACGGTAACTCGAAAATGCCTATCCCGTCACAATATTAGAAGGCACGATAGTCTAGTGGTAGAACGCCGGGCTCGTGACCGAAGGGTTACGGGTTCGAGTCCTGGCACGGCAGTGTGTTGCATCTTTGAGCAAGATTCTTTACACCGCTTGTTCCAGTCTACTCAGCTGTAAATGAGTACGTGGTTGGGCAGTGCTAGAATTGTTGAATGCTAGCTGTAAGCGCCAAAATGGCAACTCTGGCCTTATGGTGCCCAGGGAGTTAAGAAAGGTATCGGCTGGTTGCAAAGGCTCTATAACCACGGATAATAATGTGTGAAGCGCTTTGAGACGACCTACGAACTAGGTTGTGATAAAGCGGTATATACGAACCTCGAATTATTATTAACTATATTATTATTATCCCTTTTTCAGGCATTCAGGATAACGGTGAAATACGAAGTATTTTACATTGGACAATAATCGCAATTATTTATTTGCCAGGGATGGCATGACGATTAACCGATATACTACTTTAATGGGTCAGCAACCCTTTTAGAGGCGAGTCCTTAGACGCCACAATAAAATGACAGTAACCTCATGCAGTTTTAGCTGTGGTGCATGTTCTGGCTTAAGGTTGATAGTTTAGATTATTACATACTTACTAATAAATACGTTTGTTTGTATATGGGATACGACACAATTGCTCTAACCCGTATCAGCCCCCGCCGTATCACACCCCAAAACCCGTATCAGCCCGCAAAACCCGTATCACACTTCCTTTGGAAATATTTCGTTTTTCAATATTTCAAAAGAAATATAGATCATAAGATAGTAGCTTTTATTAGTAAGTATGTACTAAACAGAATAAAACACGCCTTTTTCCATATCACACCTAGTATCAACCCTCGACCAATATCAGCCCTCGGGCTGATATTGCAGTCTCGGGTTGATACTGTTATGGAAAAAGGCATGTATTATTCTCTATATATTTTAACGGATTTAATATACATATCAAGGATCCTCCATATAATGCACGTGTTATGCAGTCGGGTACTAACCAGCTTATTAACATAGGGTTGTTGCAGACTCGATATATATTAAATACAAGCCAGCGATTCCAGCATTTTGCAGAACCCCTATATATACGTCTCAGACGTCTACGGTGTGTCAGTAACTCCAACCTCGCCCTTTAATTTCCTACTGACCGCTATATTTCTATAGATGGCCTGTGATTCCGCCCTCGCAATTTTTACTAACCCATATATATCAATAGTATGCCAGTGACTCCTGATTGGGCCCTGTGTTTCTATATTTCAGTGACTATGTAACCATTACTTTTGTAAACTTTGAATGTTTTAAATTAAATAATTGATTCCTCTAAACCAGTCATTAACCTTACGACGGTGGATGTCATGCAATTATGGTGAGAGTTCGGTAGGTCTTGTCCGAATAAGCTTAACGAATGGTGAAATATCAGCAATATGCTACAGTGTAAGTACATGGACCAGACACACGCTCTTATTTGCAAGTTAGGGATGTAGACCTTTGTCAGTAGGAGGTTTGTAACGCATACATTAATAATAACAACATAAGAGTCATTTATCTTATATAAAAGCATGTGAATTTATTCAGTTGCATTACAGTAAATACTGTACAGCCATATACTCCCATAATAAAGTACGTTCACATTTTCGCACTCCCCAAAGTATACAAAACATATATGAGAAGCGGGCGTGTCCATCGTTTTGTTTGGACATGTAATTCTGCTCTATGTAAATGCAATACAAATATGCTGACGTTTAAAAAGTTAAATATTGCTGAGACATCAGCTTTATACAGTTTATACAATTTAAATACGCATTCTGTCCACAACAAACTGTTTCCGATTCATATGTACACTTACAGAAACAAACTTATCCTCGGTTTTTCATCATTACTGATTTCTTGGGATAACTTTATTTCACGTTTTTTTTTCGGAAACTACTTAAAAAGGATGGTAACCGTTTTTGGCAGTGGTACGTGGATCCTTAAATCATACAGATTATGAATAAAAAGCGATTTTGATATAAGGTCTATCTAACGAGGTATAACAACATTGTTCATTACCATGTTAAATATAAATGTATATAACACCTAAAACACGTGAAAGTGATATTATCTTAATAAATATGCAGACCATGTGATACATAGTATTTACGAACAAATAACATGTTAACGGTTTAACGAAATACAATATGTATATAAGTATATTTATATCGTGTCCTATATTATTTCATTTGAATTAAAACCTTTCTATATACCATAAAGTCTCTTCATGTATGGTACCTCTTCCAATTTCTTATTAATACGACTTATTTTATAGTAAATAAATGTTTAATAAATTCAAGTCAAATTGTTTTGAAAATACGACTGAATATAGTGATTGGTTTACGTGTTATCAATAATGGCATAAAACAATTTACACAGGTTAACACACACATATATACGTTTTGTTGTTCATTATTTTACAAATATATACCTAATATGTTATGTTCTATCTTCGATCATTTAGGACAACTTACATTGCCTGTAGTCATATACGGCTTTTCGAAGCATTGTATTGCTCTTGTATATTAATGATAGGTAATAAACTATCTCTGATAACAAAGGTATGTATTACTGAAAACCACCCGCCAACGCTGGGATTCCATGTCCTCTGATGTCATAACAGTTCATTGACAAGACGAGTCTGATATTGGTGAACAAGGTATTTTATGTACGAATATTGAAATGAAACGGGAGATGATATGACAACTGAACCTTTACCCAAAGAGTTTGGAAGCAAAGATTAACTTTGGCATTTATTATGAAACGTAAGATGTATTCCATTATCATGCGTTGTATTGTTGATTTGTCAGATTTTGTTTAATGTTTCGTGGCGAATAATAAACTGGACAAGTTGACATTCTCACACAGTTGCTTCCTTAAATTGTGTTTCTAAAGACTTTTTTAAGACTTGAAACTATTTGATGAAGTTGAGTGCATTGTTTAATTGTCCATTTATTATTGCATTTCCTTTCAAACTTTTGAGAGAGAAAAATATGCAGAAACCATTAATCTTTCTTAATAAAACATTTACAGCAGATTTTGTTACTAAAAGACAATACATTTGTTGTTTGATATTTCATTCATGACACAATTTCTTTTACTATTACACTTTTATTGAAAACCAAATTGCTGAAAGCTTAAATCAAAATGAAGACATGAACAATGAATTAATTTTGACAACAAACGATAGCACGTTGTTTTTAATGTAGGTAGGTGTTATATTTTTTATTATTGTTTACAGTAAACCAATTACATGAGCATTGTGACATAATATATACAATTGAACTGTTGAACCTAACTGTACTGGAAGTTTCGGGTTCGACTCCCGGCAATGGTCAGATCTCTTGACAGCATGTTAGATTTTAGATTAATTTTAAGAGTAACGTATTGGGGTGGAGCTCTTGAAGGCATCAATTTTCTTTTTTTACAAATCAGTGTTGTATGCGTGTATGTGAAACAAAATAGATTTAAAAGCAGGTGAACTGATGAATGTCTACTTTTTATGAGAAATATATCTATATATGATCTATATGGGGCAAAGAAGTAATTCCAACAGTGTGGACAAGTTTAGGTTGTCAAATTTTCGGAGCGATCCGCTCCTTTTTCAAGACCTACATATATACTGCCTTACAATATTATCATATACCTATCTACACATACAAAGTAGTACACAAAACCGGTGTTGCAACGAACAATAATACAGATGTGATATATAATTTATGTACATGTTATTCACAGGAATAATCAGCATCACATGTATCATGGTATTTTTAACACAATATTCAACACTTACAATCCTACAACTATGATAATCTACACGTGAATATCTTGTTTCGGAAATTGTGAACGAAAAATCCTCAATTTTTCCGAATCCAACATTATCTCACTACATGTTTGTGACTATTCAGAATCGAGTTTGTAGAGATTCCTCGAAATACCCATTGAGTTGAATTATATGACATAGGAATTGTAACACCTCCGGTGAAGAGTTCGTTCATAACCGCAAACATTCAGAACCAAAGACATTTTCTACATGACACGTTTGTACATTGAAAGACACGGGACAATACATTTATTTATACTGCAAGAAGTTAAATTATAAACCTGTTTTGTTAATCGAACAAAAATAGTTTCATCTTACTGAGAACTAAAGGTTGAATTTCCATATCTCCTTAAAAAGTTGCATTCATAAAAAAGTAACAGTCATCTTCTGAAATATATGTTTACCAGAAGGTAAGGGCTGCAAAACAGCGGTTTAAAACAAGTTCAAACCGAGCAGTAAACAATTAGGGGCTGTTTCCCTTTTGCAAGGGAGTTAACTCAATATTCTGTATACAATGAGTGCCCACCGGACATATTTGTTCCCTGCCGTCATTTTTCTCACCATTTGAAGGGAGAATAAAAATGCATCCTTTTGGGAAAAGGACAAAATATAATAGCCAACTGTTAATTTTCTATTATGTTCAAGGTAATTCCTCGCCCAATTCCATGGCCATAGCGGGTAACATCATGTCTGTTGCTGAGGCGAGAAACGTGGCTGGAGTTGTTGTCGTTGGTACAGACTTGATCACAATACTTGGGGAACCATTACCATGCCGAAACCCGACCTGTATGTTACTGCCCGCCTCGATGATGATTGGTCCATGATTGACGCCTGTGCTTATAGTATTGCTTCCGTGTGCTGCACTACCCGTATGTGGCCCACTTCCACTACCCCCGTGTCCACTACTCTTGCCTACGGAAGGCCTGGCTACAACAGAGGGCGCTGTGACACCCATTCCACCACTACTAGTTCCCATAACATTCTGCACTAGACTGTTGAGTAGCCTAGCGCCATCTGGTCCTCTAAATAAACCAGTCAAATCTGGGGGTCCTGCTCCTGCAGAGGCAGGTGCACTGTTCATTCCACCCCCTCCACGATTAAGTGCTCCAGATGACATCAAGGCTAGAAGGTTAGGGGAACTCGATGCCACTCCGAGACCCGATAAGAGCATATCAGCAATATTAAAGTTCGGATTACCACCATTGTTTTGCGTATGTCTGAAGTTACTGTTTGGTCCACTGTGAATCCCTATCCCATTACTTGATCCCACACCTTGGCCTCCTGTATTCCTGCCGTGGCTTCCAAAAGAGCTGCCATGGGCGCTACTAGGACCTACATGTCCACCCGTTGAACCTCCGTTGCCACTCATCGATCCTCCATGTCCACCCATTGAACCTCCATTGCCACCGAATGAACCTCCATGTCCACCCATGGAACCTCCGTGACCACCTGTTGAACCTCCGTTGCCACCCATCGATCCTCCATTGCCACCCAATGAGCCTCCGAGACCACCCATCGAACCTACATTGCCACCCAATGAACCTCCATGTCCACCCATGGAACCTCCGTGACCACCCATTGGACCTCCATTGCCTCCAGATGAACCTCCGTGACCACCAATTTGACCTCCATGTCCACCCATCGATCCTCCATGTCCACCCATTTGACCTACTTGTCCTCCCATAGTATTCCTTTGTCTACCCAGGTTTCCTGTAATTAATAATAAAAATACGGAGTACTATATATGTATAATACTATTAAATGTTCCATTAATGTTGTTTTTAGTTAACTGTTGCAAATAAGATGGAGTTTGAATCACTTGGCGGTTGATAAATTATTATTTCTACTACATTATTTATTTACCTAGTATTATAGGGAAAAGGTTTACCTGAAAGTCCACTTCTTCCTGAATGTCTGTTTCCTAAACCAAAATTAGTAGATGGTCTGTGACCTGAACTTGCTAATCCAGATATACCATTTCTGTTGTTTCCACGACCATTTCCAGATGTAGAGGGCAACCCCTGACCATTGTTTGGACGATTTGGTCTGCGGTTTCTTGCAAGGTGTGCACGTTGCCTGGTAGACGAAATTTCAAGATTTCTCGCGGGAGACGAATTTTGTACGCCACCACTCCCGCGACTCGATATGGCAGTTTTGTCATTATTCTGAGTTCCAATAGGTGACATGATATTTGCTGTTTTTGCAATGATGATCGTCTGTTTGATGTGCCGTGTATCTATGTTGCTGGTGTTCTTGATAGAAGTAGCGGTGTTAACCCCTCCACGTCGTTTCGATGTGACCCTGACCTGAGATCTTCTTCGACTTCCGCTTGTTGGACGTCTAGCCCTCAAAGCAGAACGTGCAAGAGACGTCCTCATCGCCTGGAGCCTACTCCGGCGTGGGTCATACCTCGTAGTTCTCTGAATTTAAGATAATTAGAATTTGATTAATATACAGCATTTGATATGTGATATAGCGCCCTATCTAGGTAACATAAGACACTCTAAAGCGCTTTACAGTACATATATGTACGATTAATACTATTAGCATAACATAAATCGATATTTATACATTAATCGATATGATTTTTTTCAGGAAGTCGCAGGAGCTGCCTTATCAGACGTTAACTTATTAGTCCTATGCCACTTGGCTAATATATATCTGTTTGTGTATGACTGCGTGTGTGCTGGATATGTAATGTGTTCTGTTTGTAGAGGGAATGTGCTTCCAACTCCATCATTTATAGCGCCACCTCACTTAAATGCTACAACACAGATACCGTAACATCTACCCAAGAACTTTTTTGTGCAACACCTGGGTTGTTTGAGTTGTGTGGGCAGGAGAAAAACACTTTCTCTGAATATCCATGCTTACGACGACATCGGGGATCGAAACCCGGCCGCCTTCGTGGAAGGCCGGAGTGTTAACCACTCGACCAATCCGCCCATATTTTTTATTAACATTTTTTATTATTCAGTTAATCCAACCACATTCATTACATTGCATCGATGATGATGTAAATGATCAAATGAAAATATTAATAAGTAATAAGTTTCCTTTAGTACATGATTAAAGAACTATTAATTGAATAATTACGTGGTAATCAAATAGGCAAGACATGTCGCCAAATTAAATGAGCATTTCAGATATTATGACGTCACAATGCACATATGGAATTAACAGAATAAGATTGCAAACATTTAGATTTGAATAATAGACACGTCGTTAAAATTGATTATGTGTGTTCTCACTTTAGATAATTATTACACGGCGAATTATTTTAATTGTATTATTTATGAATATGTTTAAATATATATGCATGATATACACACGTAACGTCGTAAACTAATAATAAAAGAGAGGCTCAGACGCGTGCTTTTCTATAACATATGTCTGACGTATGTACAACCTACGAAATAAATTTATGTAAACTATCATTTCTCGTTAAAATTCAGAGAATTGTCGAGAAATATTTTTTAAAAATTATCACAATATCATTTATTTACTTTATTAATATTACCAAACAAACTACGGCCAGTTATACAAGAATATAGATCCATGTAGAAGTATCAACATCTGTTCTGTAAATCATTTTTGTTTTATCAAAATCACATGTATCCAGTTTTTACTAGTATACATTTTGTACAAAATTTTGCTAATTTGTAACTTCATCAAGGGTTTGATACACACCTACCATGTTGCTGTATGCTTCTGCACACTCGTATTTTTATATTTTGTATATTATGTTATTTATATTATTATTTAATATATCATATTTTATATTTTGTATTTTATATTTTGAAATTTATATCATTATTTTGTATTATATATCTCTAGTATCACTGATGCGTCCTAGTTGGACATCGCTGTATGTTTTAAGTAAACATTTATTTTTCAACGTAAGCTCCTTTAAGTTTTAAATGACTGTTTTATTACGCGTTTATAGAACAGTTTAGGTAACCAAAAAGATATCAAAACAAAACAAAATCCAACGTGCACCATACAAGTACTCACTCGTCCATTGCTATTCTATATAAGGTAGAATATATAATTATATATATAATTTCATGCTAAAAGTAAAATGCATGCACAAAGTTTTTCAAGGTAGATTAGAATATTGTTTCAAAACATGACCTGAAATAATGACAACTCAAAAAATATTACAATATGTGCAGGATTTAAGTGGTGAAGTGTATTCTGACTAGCTTTGTTGACAGGCTAACATTTTTTTTTAAATGAGTGTTAAAAAGTACCATCATATTTTGTTCAAGAACTGCTGAATTTTTCGCTTGATTCTTTTTAATAATGATTGAACCGTTACCAAATAAAATATAATAACTATAAAAGAAATATGTAATATATTCACAGCAAATACAGATCATCTGTAGCAACCAATACGGTCCCTGTTTCTAAAGGTTAATACAATAAAATAATAATGATACGTATCATCAGAAATCGATAAAATGTGTACTCCTACTATAACACCAATGCTCATTATATGTCCAGACCCCCCACGCATAGTACAACGCAGTTAATTTGGCATTTGCATTTTATAGCGCGTATAGGTGACCCACAAATCATTTGGTACCTAGGTGCAATTTATAAGACGAGAACCGTTACCAGGTACTGAATGGCTACGACCTCAAGGTCCACCAGGACTCACCTACATTAATCGCGAAACGTGTTATCTGATCATTATTTCTAATGATTAGTTAGTTTGAGGAAAATCGTACATTGTATTTATAACTGGCAAAAACGCTGATGTCTTGTGCTTCTTTAATCATTTTATCAAACTGGCTATGTAATATTTTTATTTTTTAATTATCTGTATCTGTATAATACTAAAATAAGCAAAAATTATACCAAAGTTCTGATGAAATATTGCTTTGATAAGTTGACTATGCTTCAGTGAGGGATGTCGTTGATGTGTTTCGTCTAGAATTGATGAGTGACACCTACTCACAGCCAGCCGTCACACATCAGTCAGACGAGTCAGATTTATAGTAAACGGACTGGACACAGCACAAGGTTAATGCAACCATGTAATGCCTACAATATGTCAAATTGTCAGTTTGGTCAATCCCATTGATAGGCTAGAAGTACTTAATATTCTATATTCCCTTATTCTATATACATGAAGAGTGACCACAAATGTGCTGAGATCTGCGCTTTGGATTTCTATCAATGAGTCATCGGTCATATATAACTACCATTATTATTCCAATTAACAAAAACAGTTGTGAGTTATGTCCATATGTTTTGAATTTGTGTAGTAACGTTAACTCACACATAGAGAAGGCTTGCCTTTTAAGGTAGGAAAGTGAGATTACTTAAAACTGGAAAAACTGTTTTTCCTCTTTCCGATGAAAAGACTGAAGTATTATTTGACCAAATGGATATCAATTGTGGTTTGTTAAAATGAAAAAAATAGATTACATTATCTTCAACACGTTTGTTGTAATAAAAAGATGATTTAGGAAACTGGAGACGATTGATTATATCTAGCAAATCGTATACATTATGTCTCGAGTAATACATATTTTAAGAAAAGAATCCAAATATAAATATCAATTATTAAAGGGAACCACGAGATTAATAATTCATACCGTTACTAAAGATATTGTCATGACAATCCATAGTTCTTCAAACTTTTAGATAATCTGATTATAAGTTACATGTCAGTAGTACTCAAAATACAAATTGACTATATATTCTGTACTTATGTTCTACCACTTATGTTTCAATTTCAGTTACCTCTTTATACCTCAGCTTACTTAATATCTTTTCCAATTTGTAACATTTGTTGACGGACCATTAAGATTTTTTCATGCAAATTATCATCTCATTTATAATACCAACGATTCTGCTTGTGTTAGCTTCAATTTGTGTTATGTTTTATATTCACAATGAAAATGAATGAATAAGTGTTGACTGAATTTTTTGTTTAAAACATGATATTATTGTTTTAACTGAATCTGCGAAATTGCCGTGCGAGAAAAGATGTTCTAACATTTATTTTAACTATGGTAATCATATTATAAAATGTTAATACATGAACTAACTTGCTGACTATCTGTGTGTCCATGTGTGGTGTCCATTTCAACGAATACCAAAGAGCCGAGCTTAAAAACAGTTTGTTATTCTAAACACTTTGCTTCTTTGTCCTACATTGGTTTTATACTTGAACATTGACTTAAGGAGGCATATTTAAGTACCATTTGGATTCATCGTCTCTCTGCATACAATAATCTCGTTAAATAAATAAATAAATGTATTCGTTTCAATAGGGACTGTTATATTATTCATTTTGACTGATTGACAATTAGCTGATTATTTTTTAGTTGATTTGTAAGATGGTGAGACTTCTACTAAAGTCGCGCAATCAGTAAAAAGAGTTTGAGGTACTTTTTTGAAAAACATTATCCAAATTTATTTTACATTCTAACATTCACCAACATGTTACCTAAAATACAACTATAGAGGGTCGGGGATAGAAAACACCGGATGCATTACTGCATTATGGGAAGAGACGACTAATGTGAGGCAAAACAGATTCAGAGGTGTCCTCGTATGGCCTCCGGAAAGGATATTAAAACTAGTTATATTTCTATATTTTCTCTAACTTGTTTACTTCTATGTCTATCTTAGCTAAGAAACATTTACATATTATATACTTTAATTGTAAAACCCAAAAATTATAACGAGAGTTTGAATCGAGGGAATTGTAATCAGAGCTGTAAGTCGAACTCAAGATAAATGAAAATGTTATGAAATATAGATGCTGGAAATACTGCCTTTTTGAAAACGCAAAGAATGATAAGACCGGATTTTCCGTAGGGTTAAGCGTTATCAATTCTTTAATACCATAAAATAACACCGAGCAGAAAGGGATAGAGAGGCGTATATCTGTTTGATAAGTATGGTTGTGATTATGAGTACAAATGGACGTGCCAGGTTTTATAGGCAGAACAAATAGTGGGCTGGCGGTGTCAGCACCTACAGAATTACCTCGAACAGTGACCGACCAATCGTGAAAAACGCTTTGGCCATAACTCACGCACTCTTCTGCCTTTGTGGTCTGGTGCAGGAAGTGACTAACCCTACATATCCTTGATCGTGTTCTACTAACTGGGACAGTTTTATTATAACGCCTTCTTCACACTAGATGTATGTTGCCTTACTGCGATATTACCGTAATATATTTACATTTGCATGCGGCATTGTCACTATATAGCCTCTTTGAAAGCTGTGTCGTTGATGGGACTTAAATTACCAAGCATCACGAGACACAATTCTTAGCGTATTAATACAACACTGACCGGAACTACAATATCCAGTATACATAAACATGCTGGCTGCTGAAATATCGCTGGGCATT